TGGGAAATTGGGTGGGCCTTCTCCCTTAATACCCCCCTTTTAAACGTGAAGGTAACAATATGGAAAACATACTAGTATTATCCACTTTCCTGTAGCCCTTGAACCTTCTTACTCTAAGTATGTAAAGAATGTCAAAATAAATTTTATTAATAAAAAAAAAAGAATGAAAAAAAAATCTTGCAAAAGTTACAACTTAGTTTTACTAGTGCACATGATCAAATTTATGAAAGAAGGGGGTTTCAAAATTTTTATAGGTAATATTTTAAAATAGGCTTTTTCTTGCTGATATAACTAACATTTATTTTCTGTTTATTTTTAAGACGAGCAAAAATCAAATTAAAGTAGATCTTGTAGATGAGAATTTTACAGAATTAAGAGGAGAAATAGCAGGACCTCCAGACACACCATATGAAGGCAAGTACTTTTTTATGTATCAAAATATTGTGCGTATTTAGAACCTCTTTGAAAGAATAAATCAGAATGACTTCAAACATCTTTTTGCTGCACAGAACATAACTTCATTGCTTAGAATATGCAGGAAAAAATTTTGAAGAACTTTCTAGACACGTATCTAGACTTACTTTGCTTACTGCCTTTTAGCTCATTTCATTCTGAGTCCGAAGTAAATTTAAGAGGCAAGTTTCGGGCTGTACAGGGTAGCCTTTAACTGCAGCACGTGCAGCGTCTCAGCTGCCCACTTCCGGACTCCAGAGTCTTAATTACCCTTCATATGGTATTTATGCCAAAACTTTCTTTAAATTTCTAACTGTTTTTTTTTTCTTTTCTTTCCTTCTTTTTTTTTTTTGAATTCCTCTCCCTTGTTTATCATTTAACATATCATTCACCTTATGTCTCCTTTTAGAATGTAGTCCAAATATTTAATTTTCCTTACTCAGGAAGCTGTTGAGTGATTATTTAAAATATATATATGAAAGAAGGGATATGGTTTTGTTTAACCTGGTGCTTAAAAGTGAAGTCTTTAGCTACTTTGGAATTGACATTGGGTGAAAAGATATAGAAGGATGTTGTATGTAATTTTCTTATTAGCCAAATCTTTATTCATGAATATTCTAAATTTTGGTTATGTAGAACTGCCAAGGTTCTTGTATATAATAGGTTTTCAAACGTTTGTTTAATTCAAAACATACAAGACTGTGTGGTAGGTCTTACTTGTAAGAACTTTACACATATAAAATTTCATCTACGGTAAGTGCACTTACCAATGCTTCACAGTTGAAGGATGTTGGAATAGTTAGTTTGTCCAAGATCAGACGGCAAAGTAGGATGGCTGGATTGGAGCCCTAAAAGCCTGTGACTTTAAAGTCTATGTTCTTAATCACATTTTACTTGTGAATAAATCGAGATTTAATGAATGTTGAAGTAGTAACCATGTCGGCTTTGAATATGATAGTTCTATTATTCTGTAACATAGTTAATGAAAAAGTTTGTTTCTATTTTCAAATTATGAAAGACCATACATATCTTAGCTTTTTTTAGGGGGTGTGGGGGTCAGGTGTTACAGAGAGAGATCTGCCATTCTGTTGTTTTTATTCCCTACATGGCCACGGCGCAGGGGCTAGACAAGGCCAAAGCCAAAATGTTAGAACTCCAGCTGGGTCTCCCATGTGTGTGCCAGGGACCCAAGCACTTGGGCCATCTTGCACTGCTTTTCCCAGGTCCCTGAGCAAGGAGCTGGATTGAAGTGGAGCAGTAGGGGCTCAAACCTGTGCTTCTGTGGCATCCCAGCCTTGCAAGCAGCTGCTGTGTTACAATGGCAACTCCGGTTTTTACTGTTCTGTGTTGTTCACTGCGAATTTTATGTTAAACCTGGTTTAGAGTCATTTGCAAAAGCAGGCTATTTCATTTAGTTCTTTTGATGAATAGCATATGATCCCTGTAATGATAAACTCGAGCCTCTTCTTGAAATTATAGCATTATAGTTATTTTTTTCCTTTAAAGATTTATTTCTTTGTTTGTTTGTTGGAAAGTCAGATTTACAGAGAGGAGGAGAGACACAGAAAGATCATTCGCTGGTTCACTCCACAAGTGGCGGCAAAAGCCTGAGCTGAACCAATCTGAAGCCAGAAGCTTCTTCTGAGTCTCCCATGAGGGTGCAGTGTCCCAAGGCTTTGGGCTGTCCTCAGCTGCTTTCCTAGGCCACAAGCAGGGAGCTGGATGGGAAGCGGGGCTGCCGGGATTAGAACCGGCGCCCATATGGGATCCTGGTGCATGCAAAACAAGGACTTTAGCCACTAGGCTACAGTGGTGGGCCCAGCATTATAATTATCTTGAATTATTGGTTTAGATTCTTTAGGTATGTTTTTAAAAGACAATGGGGTAATAACATCATCTTGGAGTCCTTCCAGGAAAATGATTTTTTATAATAAATGAGATATCTCTAGAGCTAAATTAGGTAACTCCTTAGCAGCTCCTAATACCGAAATGTTTTTAAGAAAGTTGAGATAATGTAAACTTCCTCATAGAGTATTTAAAATAGAAATATTTCCTGTATTGAAGCAAATTTGGTCATTTTCAATTGGTTATTTCTGATGCTGCTAAAACCTAATTTTTAAAATTCATTTAGGAGGCGTAGAAAGTGGGCGTCAGTCAGGGGAGTGAGCCAGTCAGCGCTCACGTGCTGGCTCTCCTGTGCCCCCTGAGGCCCTCCAGGTCTGTGCCCGCAGCCAGGGACTCGGGTCAGAACTCCTGCAGGAGTGACAGGGATCCAGCTGCACCTCCTTGCCGCCTCTCAGGCGACAAACCCAGGGACCTCTGCTGTGCAATATGGGCTTTTTTGTTTTTGTGTTTAATGATTTATTTTTACTTGAAAGAGTTGCAGAGAGGGGGAAACAGTGTGGGGAGAGAGAGAGAGATCTTCCACTGCTGATTTACTCCCCAGATGGTTGTAATGGCCTAACGTGAATGGATCTGAGGCCAGGAACCTCCTCTGGGTCTCCCACATGGTGCAGGGCCCAAAAGCTTAGGCCATCCTCCATTGCTTTCCCAGGCCACAGGCAGGGTGCTGGATGGGAAGTAGAGCAGCAGGGACTAGAACCAGTGCTTCCAGCACTGCAGGCAGGGGATCAGCAGGTTACACCCAGGCTTCTGCCCCCAATGTGGGCTTCTTAACTGCCATTTTGTCGTAAAACTGTTAAAGAGACTCATTTTATATCATTTAGGAAAAGCCCCATTCAAGGATATAAACTTGGATGTCTTTTTCCAAAATGTGAACAGAGCTAAAGTATTGTGATCATGCATGTGGATTTTGCTGCTTGGAGGTTTTTTCTTTTTCCAATCTATTCTTAGAAGCTAAGGCAAAAGTTTACATGTGGAATGTGATATGTGGAACTTCTTTATGTAATGAGACAACTGTTTTATGTAATACTAAAGGTAAAACAGATTAAAAAAAATACCACTTTATACGTCTTACTTTTGAAATGAGTGAGTTAAAAGGCACAGTGTGGGATGTGGGTTTGCTCCCATATCAGCCAGATCTGTGCTAGGCCGGGAGCTAGCAGCCAGGAGTTCCATCCTGCCACGACGGGCAGCAGGCCCGCTTCCTCCGCCTTCCACACAGCTTAGCAGCAGACTGGATCAGAAGCCATGTAGCCAGGACTTGAACTTGCATCTGGGACTTGAATCAGGACTCCAGTATGAGCCTTGTACCCAGCTGCACTGCAGCGCGGCCCCAAATGTTTTCTTCTTTTGCTTAAATAATTCAGTAGCAAAGGAAAATTTAGTTTTTACGCTTTCTTTTCTAAAAGTTACGGAATCAATGTTGATAGTTTAAAAATTAGCCTCCTTTTCTCATCTTCTCTGATTTAAGTTAAATTTTTGTTGTTACTTTTACTTCTTAAGAGGCAGAAATCTTCCAGTCACTGGTGCTATTTTCCAAATGCCCACCGTGGCCAGGCTTTGGCCAAGCTGAAGCCTAGTGTTAAGATCTGCCATGAGGGCCCGGCACAATAGCCTAGAGGCTAAACCGTTGCCTTGCATTTGCCAGGATTCCATGTGGGCACTGGTCTGTGTCCCGGCTGCTCCACTCCCCATCCAGCTCCCTGCTGTGTCCTGATAAGGCAGTAGAGGATGGCCCAAAGCCTTGGGGTCTTGGCACCTGTGTGAGAGACCCAGAGGAGGCTCCTGGCTCCTGGCCTCGGATCAGCTCAGCTCCAGCTATTGTGGCCACTTGGGGAGTGAACCAGCGGATGGAAGATCTTTCTATCTCTCCTTCTCTCCATAAATATCCCTTTCAAAAAGAAAAGAAAAAGAAAAGATCTTCCATGAATATTCAGCTACTGTCTTTCAGGGAGTGTGTTGGCAGGAAACTAATTAGAAGTGAGCCAGAATTCAAACCCAGACTCAAATTCATAAGTGTGGTGCAGATCAGGTGACAGTGTAACTGTTTTGTCAGTGTCTTCCCTACTTAAGTTATTTTTATACTATAAATTTTTATTGTTAAAAGCTGTTCTTGTTATATGAATAATATCGTTTCCTTAGAGATCCCTTAATTGTCCAAATTAGATAGAGCCATGTGTTACATAACAATGTTAAGGTCAATAGTAGGCCCCAATGTACAGTTAAGGTCCTTAAGACCATAGTGCCCATTCATGTAGCCATTGTCTTTAAGAACACCCCTCCCCTCCTTTCTCCTCCCCTCCCCTCCTTTCTCCCCTCCCTCCCCTCCCCTCCTTTCCCCTCCCCTCCCTCCCCTCCCTCCCCTCCCCTTCCCCCTCCCCTCCCTCCCCTCCCCTTCCCCCTTCCCTTCCCCTCCCTTCCGCTCCCCTCCCTTCCCCTCCCCTCCCCTTCTCTTCTTTCCCCCTTCCCCTTCCTCTTCATTTCATTTTAGTTTATTTTTAAGACTTATTTGGAAGGAAGGTTAGCACCCACACACATATACACAGAGAGAGAGATCCTCCATCCACTGGTTCATTCCCAGTGGCCTCCATAGTCATGGCTGGATCACGGCAAAACCAAGAACCCTATCATGCTTTTCCACTAGGTGATATGGATTCAACCTCTTGAGCCCTCTTGTGCTGGCTTCCCAAGTGCACTAGCAGGGAGCTGGATCTGAAGTGGAGTATTTGGGACTCGAACCATCATTCCAAAATGGTGTGCCAGCGTTGCTAGCAGCAACTTAACCTGCCATGAGACAGTGCTGGCCATGATTTTTTCTTACAACAACTTTTGTGTATTTTTCACTTTGTTTATGTATTCACAACTTCTGTGCATATTTCACCGGTGAAGCACATTTAGTTAATCCAGGTATCTGCATCACTAATCACTTAATGTAGGACTCTTAAAAGAATTAGCAGGAAGGATGGAAACCACAAAGGACTTGAGGAAAGTGGTACCACTTGAACATTTTTAGAAAATCACGGCTGTATTGAGGAAAATCTGGAAAAAAAAAACTCCTTTCAAGAGTTGAGTCTTCAGCATCATGAAGTTAGTGGTGTTCTTAGTATAGCTTTTATTTCATTGTTCTTGTTATTGAAACTTTATGTACAAAAAACCCAGGTACCTCCATGTCCTCCTCAGCCTGCTGTGATGACAGTTAACTGATGCTAGCCATCTGCTCCTTTGGAAGAATTCTAAGAAGTTTTGTATGTAATATTTAGTAGCACAAATTATTTTGCTATATTTTGTTATTTTGTAATAGTATTCTATTGAAATGGGTCATTAAAATGCTAGAGTTGGAAAGTTTGTTAGAGTTGGAGTTTCAGACAGCTTCTTATCTCATGCAGACTTTCCGTATCTGGTCTATGGGAAGCTGGAGAGGGATTTTTTGTTTTTTAAATGCCTGTTTAGGTGTTTTATCCTCAGTGTAACTTCAGAGCAAAACAGAACATTGCATTCTGTTTATGATGGGTTACAGCCACTTCTGTAAAGTATCACATTCTGTGCACCCACTAAGGGAAAAGAATAGTCTGTCTCTATGTTTTTAATTGTTGAATTCCTGTTTTCAAATTTCATTTCTTTTAATTTTTATTTGAGACACACAAAGACAGATACAGACAGAATTCCCCATCTGCCGATTTACTCTCCATTCCTGCCGTGGCTTGGGTTGGGCAATGCCAGCAGACAGTGGGAGTAGAAACAGTCCAGGTATTTGACAAGGGTGGCCCTAAACCAGCTGCTTGAGCCGTTACTCCTGCCTGTCACAGGGTCTACATCAGTTGACCCACAGTCAAGACCCACAACCAAGCTTGCTTACGTGGGATGCTGGCAGAATTGGTGGCTTGCTGCTTGTGTCTGGCTTTAAAATTTTAACAGGAAGTGATTGGCAGTTAATTTAGAGTTAAAAGATGAGGACAGTTTTGTATTTGAGAAAGCCAGCTAGAGGGTGTTTGGCTTGTTTTAGCTTGTGCCATAGTCTGTCTTCTGTCTTTGTGGCATTTATGCCTTTATGTCTCTCTCTCTTTTTCCGTTTTCTCTCCTCCCCCCACCCCCCACTTTTTTTTTCTGTTACTTTAGCAACTCTCCCCCAGGGTGGATTAGTTTTTTTTGTTTGAGGAAACAAAAGGAGATGGACTCTCTACCAGTTAATTGTGCTCATGTAGTCTTTTAAATGAATGTGGGTTTAATGTATTCATCTCTCTAGTCTCATTACTTTACTGAAAGGTAATGCAGTTGTAAGGAGTGGGTGTTCCCTGCGCTTTAGCAGACCTTTAGTACCTACTGCCCTTGGTGATTTTCCTTTTGGGTATCAACTTTAGAGTTACTCTGTTGTAATTGAATATAAAATAATCTTGAAAAGTTTTAGCTCTGTATCTGGCTTCGCATGTTTAAGGTGGCCAGCATTCTTAATTTTGTTTTCTCCCCATTTTTTAGGAGGAAGATATCAACTAGAGATAAAAATACCAGAAACATATCCATTTAACCCCCCTAAGGTATTGTAATACTCTTTTTCTGCATGAACTTCAAAAAACATTTCTTGACTCAGTTAATGCACATTTCAGTGCTTGTTAAAGTTAGAGCTTTGTGAATTGCTTTCTGTTTCTACCCTTAAGTGGATAATATCTGGAAATGACAGGTGGCTTATTTCTGAAATTAAAATGAAAAACCAATGTATTCAAAGGCAAGCTACTGTTGGCTTTAGAATGCAATAAAGTGTGCCACCGATCCTGGCTTAGACACAAGATCTGGGAAAACGTGCAGTGCTCCCAAGCGTAAGGAGCCTTGATATGCCTGGAGAGAAGTTGTTACTTGGCTCAGAAAAAGAATGAAGTCTTTTTGGGGCAAGTGTATTCTGCATTCATTCAACAATTATTTAAGTACTGTGTCCCAGTGAATACAGAGATAAGACACTGCCCTTCCATGGAGCTTTCTTCCTATCAGGAAAGGAAGCAGATAATTGCAACTGACAAAAGTTAAAGATGAAGTGGGATGGCCTAAAGATCAGGAGGCACTTAACATAAACTTACCTTTCACAGAACCACTTCCTTAATGTCTATTTTTGTAGGTTAAATACTCAAGTTAATTCCCTGGTTTTCCTACTGCTAATTACCTTCTGTCCTTGCCTCTCCTTGTTTACAATGGTGTCCTGTAGATCTTAAGGCGCATCTTTGATTGTGTTGCTTTTCTTTTCCTGTTCATAAAGTTTAAACTTCTTAGCCTGTCATTTAAAACCTCCTACAACTTGAACCGAATCTCCTTTTCCACCCTAATCTCCTGGCACCTCTACCCACACCAGGGGGTCTTACTTTCTAGCCTGTAGTTGCTATTTGTAGGCAATGTTTACTTTTCTATTCCATTTTATTATCTTCATTGTATTGTTGCCCCTGTTACTAAAAAAAATCCTGTTTTCTTGAGTTTTGGTGTAGTATTACCGTGTTCCTTAAGCTGTACTAATTTTGACTTCTGTCAATAGCATGTAAGTAATAGTTAATGTATAATTTAGAGTACAAATCTTAATAGCTTTTATGGCCTAAGTCCAATACCATGGCTTATATACCTGCATGTTGTTTGTAGCTCCTAATCGTGTAGGGTCCCCTGAAATCCTTTGGGTGAACCTATTGGTTTTCTCATTTAACAATATAGTAATCAAAGTTCCAGTATGAATTTGTATCGTTTGTCCTGAAGTTCAAGGTGCTTGTTAACTCTACTGTTTATATATGGCTATTCTATGATGAGCTTGTTGCTTTTAAAAAGTGTGATAAAATAAATTATTTCAATCATTTTTAGGTGTACATTTCATTGGTAATAAATTATATTCATATCATTTTGTGGCCTTATGCACATGCATCTGTGGAAATTTTCCATCTCCTCAAACTGACCGTATCCACTAAAAATAACTCCTTGTTATCGTCCCATTCCTACCATTGGTAACCACTCTTCTGTATTTATTTTTGTGAATTTGACTATTCTTGGGTTTTCCTAAGTATAAGTGCAATCATACAGTATTGTCCACTTGTGGCTGGCTTACCTTGCTCAGTGTAATTTCATCAGGAATCATCTCTGTGTAGCACCTGCCTGGATTCCTATGCAATTTCTATAACATTTTTGGAAACTGTATGCATAAACCATTTCAAAAATATTTGCATCTGAATTAATCCCATTTTCCAGTGGAATACCTGTTTTTGCGATACCTTCATATAAATATACAGTTTATTTAGGCAGTCAGCTATTGATGAACATTTGGCATTTGTTTAATGGAAATAAGGAAGAATGGGGAAAAAAAACTAGAGTAACTTCTATCAGTGTCTTAATAATTAATGATGCCTCAGTTTTTTTTTTTTTTAATTAAAAATCTATTTGAAAGGCAAAGGGGTCGAGAGCTACCATCTCCTGGTTCACTTTGCAGATGTGCACAGCTAGCGGCACTGGTCTAGGGCAAATCCCAGAGTCTAGAGCTGAATTTGAGCTTCCCACATGTGTAGCAGAGACCCAGATGTGTGAGCTGTCACTTGCTATCTCCCATGGTGTGCCTCAATGGGAGGGATCGGAATCAGAAGGGGAACTGCTGCTCAGTCCCAGTGGCGCTGGGCTCCCGACCAGCGCCCCTAATTGCAGTGCCTGTCATGTTTCTGATATCTAATGAAATGGAACACTTAGAATAGTGGCCAACACAATAAGCACTTGATTAGCCATCAGTAAATGATGGCTGCCCTCAAAGGCCCTTTCTGAAATAGTTTGTTGTTGATTTCCCTCTGTAACAACACTTGATTCCTGTAACTGGTCGTAATAGCCAACAAGTCAAACTAGCCAAAATCATTCGGATGGATGAATGGATAAATAAGGCATAGTAAAACTGTATACTGCAGTATTGTTTGAATATAAAAAGGAATGAAGAACCATTAATGCTAGCATATGGATGAATGGGCTCGTGCGTTGGCGCAACTGGCTAATCCTCTACCTCCAAGTGCTGGCATCCCATATGGAATCCAGTTTGTGTCCCAGCTGCTCTACCGCCAATGAGGCTTCCTGCTTATGGCCTGGGAAAGCAGTGGAAGAAGGTTGAAATCCATGGGTCCCTGCAACCACTTGGGAGACCTGGAAGAAGCTTTTGGTCCTGGCTTCCGATCAGGCCAACTGTGGTTGCTGTGGTCATTTGAGGAATGAACCAGCAGATGAGCTACTTCTCCCTATTTGTAAAATCTGCCTTTCAAGCAAAAGTACATAAATCTTTAAACAAAAAAGAAAATGGATGAACCACAAAAACATGCTAGGCAAAGCAGACACAAAAGCCCAGCGCATTGTATGAATTGATGTATGTGACACATCAGGAAAGGCAAATACATGGGAATGAGAGGAGGGCGGTGGTTGCTACTCTTACAAGGTTTCTTTTTCAGGAGATAAAATGGTGAGAAATTAGATTGTGGTCGTAGTTACACAGGTCTATGAAAAAATAGAGGTTGTGATGTTGTGTGTTTAAGTGCAGTCTGCATAATGTGTTATAGCTCGGAGTCATTGCATGGTTGTGGCACTGTTTGATAGGTACTTTGACAAATTACAACAATCCTTGATGTCTGTGATTTCTGTGATACCTGGATTCAGACACCCATGAGCACCAAGGCCTGAAACAAATCAAATGGAAAATTTCAGAAGTGATTTAATGTTTCAAGCAGTTATAACTTAAGCATTATTGTCATCATGAATGTTTAAAAAGAAAATATAATTAGGGCTCAGTATTTTTCAAGGTTGCAGGTATCTGCTGGAGATCTTGGACCGTATTCCTGACAGATAACAAGGGCTGTCGTACTGTGCAAGCAAAAGTCTGAGAAGCATTTACAAACTTACCCATTTCTCTTAACTCGATCACAGAACATTTTTGGCTTGTTATTCTGCTGTAAATTTTTACACAATAGGTCATTGGGGTTCGTTTCAAACAGAAAGTGCATTTTTGAATCCGCAAAAAATGGTACAAGAGGAATTTGGTTGAATATAACCAGTATTCTAGAGTTAATTGTAACTTACATTGAAGAAAAAGTCATTAAAATCATAAAACTCCAGCACGATGACTTCTTCTGTATTGGAGATTGTTTTATGAATCTTCCTTTGGTGTTATGTACATTCTTGTAAGTGTGAAATTGAGTAGAAATATGATTGCTGGTGATCTTTAGTACATGTGTGTGCATGCATCTTTACAGCAGCTTTTTGTATGTGAGTTAAACTGTGGAATAATCTTAAGTTCCAGTCTGAACACAAGTCTGCCCCGAAGCAGGAGGGAGGTGTTTGTCATGAAGTACAGGCTGCAGTCTGCTGGCCGAGAGCAGCTCTGTCTGTGAAGATGGCTTAGAATAGTCTTTCCTTTCTGTCTGGTATCACCGAGTATCTACTGCATTCTGTGTTGAGGGTTTTATTTGCTTTGGTGCTGGCTGCAGCTAGTAAGTGCTCTGAAGTTCCAGAACAGTGCTGGTATTTGCATGGAAAGATAAGGAGACTTGTCTGTCTTGTTACTGTTTTAATGTTATGAACTACCTGATATGCATTGAGATCCAGTATGACTAATAACACATCATTGTGAGTGTGATTGTATTGTTACCAGCTATCACACTGCTTCCCTTCCAGATCATTTTGATTCTGCATTGTTGGTAAGACAGGAATGGTGGGTGGTACTGTGAGAGAAAGTGGTAGAAGTCGGGATGTGAGCTGATGTAGAATAATAGGACAATATTTCGGGATGCATTAATTGGTAACCTTAAGGCTTGAAAAATGAGAAGATGTGAAAGCCCTGCCTGCTAAAGGAGGTAACTGATGATAAACAGCAGAGAAGAAAGAAGCAGATGGTAAGAGAAAAGAGTAGACCACACCACAATTGTTTCGATGTGTCGTGGTGGATAATATTGTGTGATCTTGAAGGTTAATCTCTATGTAATCATCTGTTGGATTCGGTCACTTTTTAAGAAAAACATTTATTTACTTGAAAGGTAGAATTGTATAGAAAGAGAGGGGGAGAGAAGTCTTCCATGTGCTTGTTTATCCCAAATGACTGTGTCAGCCCAGGCTGGGCCAGACTGAAGGCAGGAGCTTTCCCTGGGTCCTCCCTGTGGATGCGAGAGTCCAAGCACGTGGGCTGACCTCCGCTGCTTTCCCAGTGCATCAGCTGGGAGCTGGATTGTAAGTGAAGCAGCCAGGATGGAAATCTGCCCACATGGGACCCTGGTGCTACAGGCAAGCAGTTCAACCTGCTATGCCACAACACTGGTCCCCCCAAATGTTTTCTACTTGCCAATTATAAATCAGCGTAAGGATATTTAATGATTTCCTTGGTGTTAATTACTTGGTTTTGCATGTGTGTCTGTGTTTGGATAAATGTACTCAATTTTAAAAAGCAGGTTACATCTTTTTTTAAAATATGTATTCATTAACTTTTTTAAAGGCAGACTTACAGAGACAGGGAGACAAAGAGAGCTATACCTTCTGCCTACTGGCTCACTCCTCAGACAAACGCAAGGGCTCGGATTGTGCCATGCCTAAATCAGGAACTCAGAGCTGTCTCCCGATTACTTGGTGTGTCATCAGTGTTTTGCTGGAGCATTAGCAGGGAGCTGGATCAGAACGGGAGCTGGGTCTTGAACCAGTGCCCATATGGGAAGAATGGCTGAGCTGTTATGTAGCAATATATGTCCCAGGTTCACTCTGTATTCCAGAGTTGTTGAAAATTCTGAGGCACCTTATTTTAAATTTATAAAATGCTACAGTTTCCTTGAGTTTATAAAATTATGGCATATAGTTATAGGGTTTCTATACATTGGGCTCAGTGAATTGCAAATGTCTTAATGTAAATTTTGTTATAACTGTTTTAAAAAATGTAGGACCTAAGCGCTGTATTAATGCAGTATTTGACCAGCACTGTGGGAGATGCTGGTAACCCCCTAACAGCAGAAGCTTGCTGTAATATGAAGTACACATTCCAGGTTGACCCGCTCTTGGAGGCCTTGGGATGGTCCTGTGAGCAGTGCTTTTCAACTTCCATGTTAGAACGCCCTGGAAGGATCAGAATAGGAATCTGGCACATCAGGGGAGTGTGGGGGAACCCAGGGAAAGTGTTCAGCCCCTACAGTGGGAGGGAGACTTTTTTGTGACTGGAAACAAGTAGGTCTCAATGCCCATGTGAAGATGTCTTTAAGACTGAGAAAAGGATCAAACAGCCACTATGAAGGAGTGAAAAGTGTGCGTTAGTTTAGGTGACTTAAAGTTCTTTTTTTCAGTTTGAATACAAATTAGAACCTGGAAGGTAAGAAAATAGAGCAGGCTAATCAAGAAGTCACAAAGAGAAGAGAAATGAAAGCTAAACAGCTGTTTAGCTTTGTTTTTTTTTCTTTATAAATAGCTTAGAAAAGTACTTAAACTTACTTGGCATTTTATGTTTAATTTTCTATGTGCTAGACAACTTGGGTGCAGGTAGTTGGGTCACATGTCAGAAACAGTGTCCTCAGCAGCTGATGGGGCAGCTGCGCTCTGGTGGGCTCAGTTAGCTTGTCGGGTTCTTCTTCCACACAAAGACAGAGAATGTAAAAGCCCGCTGCGGGCGTGCCTTTTGCTGTATATTACTGCCCAGCCTCTTTGGACTTTTGCTAAATTTCTTAAACTCATATGCTTCAGTACCTTCTCCTGGCACATTATAATATGCTTTCAAACATCTTTTTTTTTTTTTTTAAGTTAAAAAAAAGTATTCTGCACAAAATTAGAAGTGTTGAAGCCATTTTACTCCACGTGCTTTCCTGCACTTGTAATCTGTGGATTTAATTTGCTCGTTAGTTCTATTTAAACATTATGTCTGTTGCTGAAAAACTCAAGTGTGCTTTATATTCTAGGTCCGGTTTATCACTAAAATATGGCATCCTAATATTAGTTCCGTCACAGGGGCCATTTGTTTGGATATCCTGAAAGATCAATGGTAAGAGATTTTGAATTTGCCTTTTCTCCTCTCATGCAAATACCAGTCTCATAAAAAGTGTTAGCTGTGCAATTTCCTGGAACCATAGCATTATTATACTTTATTTCTTGGACTTTATAAAGCTTCGAGAACCTAATTGAACCTAATTGAAAGTGTGTTGCAACTGAGCTCGTAATTTCTCTGATCAGAGCCTTGATAGGCAGTGTCCGAGGCTGGCTTTACATTTTGAAAAGTCTTGGGTTTTTGTCATTGCTGTTTGTTTGTTTGTCTTAATTTGAATCTTTGCCATCTTGGAAAGATATCTGGACAACTTTAAAAATTAACAGATACAAAAATGGTCCTCTCCCACTAGCTGGAATGTAAGCAAAGCCCTGGGAAGGGCTGCCTTTGCAGCGGAGCGTTCGTCTCCGTAGCGCCCTAGGTTCCCATGCAGGAGCGCTGACTTGACCTCAGCAGCGGGAAGTGCGGGTTCTGCCTCCTGTGCTGACTCAGCTGCGTGGTCCTGAGCGGCTTAGGCCATGCTTGTGTGCCTTCGTTCCCTTATCGCAGGACTGCGGAGATGAAATGTGTTGCTTTATGTCATTTCCTTAGGAAGGAACTTAATAGTCTGCCTGATAAATATGATGGTGGTGGAGCAGCAGACGATGGTTATTCATATAGCACAAGATTTTGCAGTTGGAAAACGGAGGAGGTAGGCAGTAGGAGCAGCGTGGGAGAGAACAGAATTAGAGGAGACTGAGTGTATGCTGTGATCTGTCCTCTGACTCTAATCTTTTCAAGAGAAGGAAGAGGGTTCGGTGCAGTAGCCTAGTAGCTAAAAAATCCTCCCGGGATCCCATATGAATGTCGTTTTGTAGCCTGGCTGCCCCACTTCCCATCCTGGCTCCCTGATCATCAGAAGTTCATAATGGAATTTTTAAAGAATCGTTTTACTAAGAGGCAGTCTCTCTTACTTAATAAGAGTCGTCCCGTTCATCTCCTGCTTTACCCCCAAATACCTCTGCTGGGTCTGAGTGGGGCAGGACCCCGGACGCAGTCTAGTTCTTTGAACATAGGAGACAGGGACCCAGTGACTAGCACCCACAGCGCTGTCTCTCCCAGGCCCTCCCTCGGCAGAGTGCTGCAGTCGGGGACCCAGGCCTTGGGGCCGGGAGGCGGGTGAGCATCCTAGGCATTGCTATAATCAAGTTCTCACTCTTTTAAAGTTCTAAGATTCCATGATATGGAAGCAGATTTTCAGAGTGAGAGGGGTCTATTTGGCTTCCTGGCTGTCAGCTTTTCCACCCCCCCAGCTGTGTCCTCCCCCAGGCTGCCCAGTGGGCTCCCCATCCCCGGGTCTTTAGGTGGATCGCTTACGGGGTGATCTTGCTTCTTCCTAACCATTCTCACTTCCTTCATGAATGCCTGTAATTTTATAGCTTCCTCATTAAATACCAACAACTCACAAATTTCTCTTTTGTTTAGCAGGCGCCAGACTTATTCTGCTACCTGCTTTTCATCTGTATTTGAATGTATAAATACAATCTCAACTATCAAAAACTGGACCAATGGTCCCTTTAACATAAAGCCTGTTTCTTTTTTATGTTATCTTTCTCATCTAAGTCATTGGCAACTGCAAAGTCAGGCCACAATTTCCTCATGATCTTTGCTTTCTCTGTTACCCTGTAGTTGTTTGCAAGTCTGTTAGAGAACCCTGTGTGACCTCAGCAGGCGCTTCCCTTCTCCCCCTGTGCCAAGCTGTGTTGCCCCTTGCCTGGGTGACTGTGAGCGAGGGCCTGCCTCCTCCTGGTCCCAGCAGCCACAGTGAATAGCCCTGCCAGTGAAACAAAGCCTCAAACAAGCAAAGCTACCTGACTGACCTCTCTAGCTGAGAATGAACCTGCCCCACTATTACCACTTACCGTCCCCCGATGGTTAGGTGTCATGTGCATCTATAAGGGGAGAACTTGAACTGTTGTCTCAGCTAATCTTTAGCTCTTCCTAAGACAGGTGAATGGTTGGTTTCATATTGATATGATTGAATACCAAAAGATATAAAAATATCAGATAAAATAGATGGATTAAGTATTTCAGGAATCAGTTTTCTACCCCAGCTTTATTGGAGCATTAAAAAAGTGTTTTATTTATTTGAAAGATAGAATTGCAGAGAAGGGGGGATTGCCCAGGATCTTCCACCTGTTGATTTACTCCTTCAGTGGCCTGTGCTGGGCCAGGCTTGTGCCAGGAACCTAGAATTTCATACAGATTTCCCTCGTGGGTGACAGGGCTCCAAGTTCTTTGGCCATTTTTTGCTGCTTTTCCAGACACGTTAGCAGAGAGCTGAATGGGAAGTGGAAGAGCTGGTATTAGAACAGGTGTCTGTAAGGAATGCTGGTCTTAGGAGGTAGCAGCCTAACTCACCCTGCTACAGCACTGACCCCATGCTTAGTTTGGATGTCAGTGTGAAGGCATCAGAACTGGAGCTTGGTACAGAGATGTGTAGGATGAGGGTCTGGTGTTGTGGTACTGTGGGTTAAGCAGCTGTCTGCATGGGCAGCATCTCACATGAGCCACAGTTTTGAGTCCTGGCTGTTCCAGTTTTGATCCAGTTCCCTGTTAATGCCCCTGGGAAAGCAGTGGAAGATGGCCCAGGTACTTGACTCTCTGCCACCCACACGGGAGTCATGGCTTCAGCTTGTTCCACCACAGGCAGTTACAGTCATCTGTGGGAATGAGCGAGTGGCTGGAAGATCTTTTCTGTCTCCTTCCCTGCCCTGCTTTTTAAATAACTTGATAGGATCGTGACCTTAGCACGAATCAATTACAAATATGGAAGTATTTTTTTAGAAAAAAGACTTTTTGTAAAAAAAAAGAATTACATATAAGTTTGGGATGGGATTGCTAGAATATCATTGATTTAACCTTGAGTACTTAATGATATATTTGGGGCCCAAGGTTAACTCATTTACTGTGACCTTTCTTAGTTCTGCAACTTACCACATATGGAACCCAGTTGGGGATGATTTTACCCCCGTACCTGTTGGGACCGAAGGTGCACGATACTCACCTCGCAGAACAAGGGAGCAGGCGCGTTTAGGTGGTCGGCGAGCTCTGCTTTGCGGGCTCACCGCATTGGCGCCGCTGTGCACCTGTACGCACACATAGCTCATCATTGCTATAGAAGAACATGCACAGCAAATTTATCACTGTCCCCAAGCAGAAGATCACTCAGGGTACTTAACCCACAGGAGGATTGGCACGGTAATATGGATTATATTAAACGACGTGACCGAGTGAGCTTTTAATGAAATTCAAGATAAGCCCCAAACTAATTTATGTAATAGTAATGAAGGTACTGGGGGAGTCCGCAGGAATGAGTGAGGCTTCTTCATACGAGGAGTATTCTAGATTTTGACATGTATAAAATGCATCTAGCTGCACAGCATTTTACTCTGCTTACACTAAATAAATTATAAACACTGCTCTTTTTGTATAGAATTCAGTGTTCCAAATGAATGTGCGTTAATTATTGACCTTGTGGAAGTTCCTTAGCAGAAAAGTTGGTCACGTTATGATTCACATGATTATTTTACAGAGTGAGGGCTACCCAGTGTGTGTGAAACATACAAGTAGCCGCGTTGACTGTTTACTGATTTGAGCAATATTAATACTGTAGATAGATTTATAAGTTAGCAGATGCGTTTTGAAATTTCATGAGTTTGCTGTTACTGTTGTTGGGACTTGTTTTAATAGATTTAAACTAACCACTAAAAATTCAGTATGCTATAGATTTAATCAGTATTTTTTAGAAAAAGTAATGGAATAAAAAGTTTGCAGTTATATATTTTTTCATATTACTGTTATTGGATTTTTTTAAAGATTTATTTTTATTATTTTTTTATTGGAAAGGCGGCTATACAGAGAGGAGAGACAGAGAGGAAGATCTTCCGTCCAATGATTAACTCCCCAAGTGAGCACAATGGCCGATGCTATGCCGATCCGAAGCCAGGAGCCTCTTCTGGGTCTCCCACGCGGGTGCAGGGTCCCAAAGCTTTGGGCTGTCCTTGACTGCTTTCCTGGGCCACAGGCAGGGAGCTGGAAGGGAAGCGGGGCTGCCGGGATAGAACCGGCGCCCATATGGAATCCAGGGCGTGCAAAGCGAGGAACTTAACCACTGCGCCACCGCGCTGGGCCCGTTATTGGATTTTTTTTAACGTATCTTCATTGCAAAGGCAGAATTACAGAGAGACAGTGAGACAGTATGGTTGTTTAAAAACTGCATTTGAAGATTCTTTTTAGCAAACTACTACTTAATAAGTTATAATCACTGCCTCGAAGCATTGCGGTGCCTGTGCTCTGGCACAAGCACGCTAAACTGCACAGTGACAAGTACTGTGGTACAGAGTTTCGGAACTCTAGCAGTTGCACGCTGGAAACCTCCATAGCGATGGAACGTTCCTCCTCCTCCCCCAGTCCCTGGCAGCCTCCACCCTGTCTTGATCTGTCAGTTTTACTGCTCCTGGTACATTTGGCAGTGGAACCTTGTGTCTGGCTTTTGTAGTTTGTTAGTCTTCCTGCTGTGGTATCTTCTAGGATGCATCTGTGCTGTAGCCCGAGTCAGAGTTCCCTTCTTTCTTTAAGGTGACTGTTGCACTGGGTGGCAATGCAAATGCTAAGCATCATTGATGGAGACTTAGCTTCCACCCTTTGCCATTATGAAGATTTCAGATTATTAACATGAGTCTGTGAGAACCTGTTAGTATGCCTGGTCTCTGTTCTCGGGTGTATACACTCAGAGATAGAATGGCTAGGTAATCTATTAATTCAACACATCACATTTTGGAAAAACCTATCACCATTTTTTAATAATTTTATTCCACTTTCCATCATTTCCAACAAATACATATAGATTCCACTTTTAAGATGTTTTATTTATTTGAATGGCGGAATTACACAGAGAAGGGCAGAAATAAGAGTCTTGTCTTTATCTGCTGGTTCACTTGCGCATGTGTGCAGTAGCTGGGCGGGCAGTGCTCGGGGCCCCATCTGGCTTTTCCATGCAGGTGACGGGGCCCAAGAAGTCAGGTCATCTGCTGCTTTCCTAGGCGTGAACAGGGATCCGAGCCAAGTGTGCAGTGGAGACCCTGAGAGCGGTCAGCCGTGATGCTGGGCCACGCTGCTAGCCCCAAATCTAGCTTTCATTGTTTTTCTGTAGTTTGAGTCCTTGAGGGGTACAACATTCGTGTGGGTTTTCCAGGGCCCCTGCCAGCAGACCACTCTGAATTTTGTGTGAACAGTGGTGCTACTGTTGCCATAGCCAAGTTACTCTGGCTTTGTTAGGTTTGCCAACAGGGGTCCCTGTGTTCTCTGTGCAGATAAGCGCATGTCTTGCCCAGGTACAGCTGTTACCCTCAGAAGTACCGTGGGCTTCATGCCAGTGCAGGCCTGTCTCTGATACAGAGAGCTGCTTGCATTTCTGGCTCTCGCCTGCTTCCAGCCCAGCTCTGCCTGCGCCTAGGGACTTGGCACGTCATCAGTGACCCGGAGCCCTGTGTATTAATGTGTGTGTGTTTCTCTCAAAGAAAAATTAAAACAATTATAAATTTCTGTGACTTCTCTATTTCTCTGATGAAGATAAACATCTCTTTTGGTCTAGAGTTGTTTTCTGTTTGTTTTATAGATAGCATCGCTTGGCTTTTGTGGCGCGGGGGCCTCCTGACTTGGCTCTTTCTGTTTCGCCTTGCAGGGCAGCTGCAATGACTCTCCGCACGGTATTGTTGTCCTTGCAAGCGCTATTGGCAGCCGCAGAACCAGATGACCCGCAAGATGCAGTAGTAGCAAATCAGGTACGACGGCTGCTTGGGGAGAGTCTCTGATACAGATGTAAGCGGCTCCTCAGTGCCTGGGCGTCACCACATGCACATTCTCTATTGAAAGGCAATTTCGAAAGGGTATCCTTTCTGGAAGTCGGGTTGTGTGGTCAGTTATAGTAGTGGACATGTATTGATTTTTAGCATACATAGGTATATGGTGGAGGCTATGTTCCTAACATATGAAAATGTGCAGAAATCTACAAAGTCAAATGATTGCATGGTGAATACCTGAACTCTGTGGTATAGCCTGGATGATTAACATTGGCTCTGCCAGCTCCACTGTGAGTGGGCCCACTGGCTGTTCATCCAGTGCTGGTCTCTCCTTAGTGATAACTTTAACCCCTTCCCACGCTGGCACTGAAGCAGCACGGTAAGCCAGTAGTGACTATACTTTGCCAAATGAAGAAATTTTTTTTTTTTCAGTTATGATCTTTGACCAGCTAATTAAGTTTTGTTGATGTTTATTGAAATACAGCCATACCCACTTGCTTGCTCTGCTCTCTAGCTCCCGTAGCAGTCATGAATGGCTCTGGATCTTAAAGCCTTCACTTATTAGCATCTGCCCATCCCCCTGCTTGCTTTTTTTTTTTTTTTTTTTTTGAGAAAGAGAGATACAAGCTCTTCATCCATTGGTTCACTCCTCAGATGGCCAAAATAGCTGGAGCTGAGCTGATCTGAGGCTAGGAGCCAGAAGCCTTTTCCAAGTCTCCCACACGCATGCAGCAGGGACCCACAGGCTTGGGCCATCCTCTGCTGCTTTCCCAGGCCATAACCAGAGAGCAGCTGGTTCTGGAACCACAGAGCTGAGGATTAGTTTGCTGTGCTGCTGTGCTGGTTCTAGGATCTGACCCTTTAAGAGACAGTTTTCCAGCCCCTGTGAGTATTTCTGTCGCATAGCTCCTGTGTTGCTCTCCTGCGAGTGGATCCGTCTTCGTGCCTGAATTGTTCTTCCTCCTGCTCTTTGAGCCGGGGCTCCTTGGTTCTCACATTGTTCCCTTTACTCACACACTCCTGATGATCCACGTCACCGTCTGTCTGCACTTGATGAAATGTTTGGATGTGAACTCCCCTAAAACATGGTGTGTGTCCGTGCAGGGCTCTACGCTCTGCATGCCATTGCTGAAGCCACAGGGTGTGACATCCTAGATTCGCCTGTCATTCTGCAGAGCCATCGGCAGCTCAGTGACACGGCCGACAGGCCCTGGAGTGCACGGTCTCCTCTGGCTGCTCTGTTACTCTTACTCTGATTGCCAGGCGAGAGGCACACTTTTGCTCTTTTAACTCCTCTGATCTCTTCTCAGCCAGCATCTTCCTTCCCTTACCACATTCTTAACCGCCTAGTGTGAGAAGCCCAAGTCCACGGTCACTTAAGTGCAAGGTCTATGCAGGGTTCTTTCATAATTTGCAACGTCTGCAGACTCAACTTTCATCTTCTAATTTAAGTTTGCTTTCATTTTTGCTTACCCTTTTATCTAATCTGTGTTTCTCTTGAAGACTGTTCACTCCTTGTTTTATGCATATATCTTTGTTAATATGTTCCATGAGTTGCCGGCAGATTGCTGGTGGTTATGGTTTAATATGTGACTTATTCATATATTGAGTCAGACACGTTGCTTGAATTCCAGCTTTGACTTCCAATTGAATTCTAAGCCCACAAGCTAAAGTTGTACTCCAAGGTTTCCTTTAGCTTCTATAATGTCCAATCATCTGACTTTTTTCCTTATTAGGGATTAATGGCAGAAATTGTATGTCTAATTCTAATAAGCAGGGGAATCTTTTTTGTCTTGAAGTACTCAAGATGTATCAAATGGTTGTGTCAAATGGCTGTTCATGTATTAGAGTGAATTGAAATTGCTAGCATTTATACATTGTTTTATTAAGAAGTAATAGTTTAGAATATTTGAAGACTATCAGCATGTCCATTCCTGTGTCATCTTAACTACCTCAATGTGCATTACAGTTTAGGACTTTGTTGAGATGTTTTAAATCATCTTGCATTAATATAACTCCAGGACAGTAGTGAAGTTTAGCTGTATCCTAGCTTGAGCTAAAGTTAATAAAAAAAAGTTGGTTAAAATTATTAGCTAATATCGAATCTGTGTACAGTTGCATAGTGTTTATTGCTATATTAAGTTTTCACTGATATGTTACTATTAGCTTTATCCTTTTCTTTGGAAATTCACACCTTCAGGTTAAACAGTCCATTTTCATGAATGACATAGTTTGTCTCAGAAAACAGATCACATTTCACATCTAAGTTTTGTTAGAAGCAGGCTCATAGGCAACTGTGCACTGACTTACAGTATTATACATTTTGGCTCTTTTGTCATGTCAATGTTCTTGTCTTCACAGTACAAGCAGAATCCCGAAATGTTCAAACAGACAGCTCGGCTGTGGGCGCACGTGTATGCTGGAGCTCCGGTATCGAGTCCAGAGTACACGAAAAAGATAGAAAACCTCTGCGCTATGGGCTTTGATAGGGTGAGTCCACAAGGCAGTTTGATTCTGATCCACTGATTGAAAATTAGCCCTCTAAATCCCTTGGCTGATGAGCAATTTAGAAAATGCACTTTCATTAAATTTTCTGTAATTAAAGGCAGTGCCTTTGTTTTCCTTTTTATTGATTGCTCTTTGTTTGAGAATCTTACGCCTGGCAACAAGAAGACACAGAAAGGGAGGAAAAGAACGGTTGACTCTTCTGTGTAAAGACACTGATCCAACATTTGAAGGCTACCTTCCAAGAGCTGATATTTTGTCCCGTGTTCTTCTTCACAGAATGCAGTAATTGTGGCCTTGTCTTCAAAATCATGGGACGTAGAGACGGCGACAGAGCTGCTCCTGAGTAACTGAGGCCTCGGAGCTGCTGACCAGGCGAGCCGGCCCCTGCTCCAGGAACACCAACATCTGTTATTTTTAGGATTCTGCATAGATTTCTTTTAAACTGGCATTCTTGCCTAATGATGTTACCTAGGCACCATTGGAGACTGAAAAAAAAAATCCCTGCTCTGTAAATAAAGCTAATTAAACGTCTGTGTAAATTTACAAAGGGGAAATACTTTAATTTTTTTTTTCCTTAATAGTGTAAAAAATTCTTTGAGCTAAGCTAAAAACCATGGAAAAACTTGCTACTTTAGTATTTAGCGGTGTACCAAGAATAGCAAGAGTTTGCATCAGGATTTTGTTGATTAATTAAGATTCTGTTTTGAGTGTGTCAGGGCCATTCACATAGTTGGTGTTGCATCACAGCTACCTTAACTGTTTCCAACATGGACCCTCCGTGCCTGTGAATGTACTTGCATGCTTGTACTTGACTTCTTAGGCTGGGTAGTGGGAAAGACCACCGTTGGAAGCAATGGAGAATTCTTAGCTATGAGACTTATCCAGATCTGAAGATGGTGACCTGTTCAGAGCCTTTCCTCCCTGTCCGTAGACCGGGACACCGTGTCTGTTTTTTCCCTTTCCACACACAGCGAACCCTCCAGCAGTAAACTGCTCTGTACCCGCCGGGGCAGTGTGCCGAGCAGCACCGTCCCTTGCTCCATTTTTAGGTTGTATGGTTGAAGTGTTTCGTCCTAGCTTTTCAGACACTCTGAAGCTTTTGCTATAATACATAATCATGTAAAAATGGAGCTGGCAATTTTGTTGCAAAACCAGTGAATACTGAAGATTGTAGTATTCCAGAGAGAAAAGACTGACCCAAGTTAGTTTTTCAGAGCATTTGACATTGATTCCTAAACTGATGAAATCTCTTTGAGGCCCTGGAAGGATGCGGTCAGCAGTGGGGAGTCATTGTTGGCCCAATGCTGGCCGTCTGGGGGACTGGCCTCCGGGCCCCTCTCCTGTCATCCTTGCCTGCACCTCCCTTGTGAACACCTAGAGCTGTGTTGGTGTTTTTCTGTACATACTTCAGATGCACATAGGAATAGAAGTGTGTTAAAAATCTAGCTTTCTTTATGATGTTTCTGATTATATGAAAACTAAACACTTTACCTTGTATATAGTCAGACTTTCTATTCGTATTAAAGTTACATTTCATTCTGAGTTCAAAAGTTTGAAAATTATTAGTTTTACAAGCTGAAACACTAATGTGACCATTTTATGAAGGTTTAAGTGGATTTATGCAGGCAGTTCTATAATGTAGAAATATAGTTCTTATCGAATTTTCAGGACCAATGGTAAATATTCAAAATGTGATGGATTCGGAATGAATTAAAGTGAGGCTGTTCATCGAAAGATATATTAACAAAACTTTTGCTTTCTTCATGTGTTACTGATCTTAAATTATGATCATTGTTTGAAAAATAATTTTTGAACCATAGAAGCAGCCTAACTTCATTTGAATTCTCAATAATCTTGATACTAGAAGCAATAAAAGAACCATTCTTAAATATATTGTAATGTGAAGGTTCTCCCAAAAACCCATCATGCTTTCTTAATGACTGGTACTCTCAGCGTTAACAGGATGGTGTACTAAACACAGGTGGCTATGTCCCCTCCCCTGCTCATTTGCTTAAGTGTACTTTTCTTTATACAGTCATATTCTTTTTTATTATTGTTCATTTTCTAAAGATGCCAAAGGAAACAAGACTTTTCTTTATTTATTTTAAATAACTAAAATCTGTACTTTATACTTTGAAGTAAGGTGGGTTGTGTTGGAAATTTTGAGTTTTGCTCCATTGTTGGTTAGGTTGGATTTTTGTTTTATCAAACAGTGGCTTGGTAATATTCGTAATATTTGCCTGTATTGTCAGGGGATACTTAATTGTCCTGTGGTTAGACAAAGCAGAAAGGACATTCAGAAATGACGCAAGGTAAAGCATTATCTCCTTTGCTCTCGAAGGCAGCTACGTCTTGCTTTGGATTTTGTGTGCGCTAGCCCCACCAGGGTAGATCCGACCTGACCACTCTTCTACAGCTTCAGCACACAGCAAATTGGAAAGTGTAATACTGGATTTTGAGATACGCTATATTATGAATTCACTATAAAAACTATTTTCCTCATTTACTTCTAATGTGATTTTTTCCCCCCAGTAGGTTTTCCACCACCTTTGTTTTGTCTATTCCCCCAGCCCTTTCTCTACTGCTCTTAACCGCCTGGAAAAGTGGCACAAGAAATTTTGGCTAGGTAAAAAGTGCCCTGGGAGAAATTATTTTTATAATCCCTAATGTTCTAGGGTTGGTTAGTTTTAAAAACCTCCAAAATTACAGTTCAAAAAATCCAGTGAAACCCCATTTAGGACAGGCAGATTTGTTGGAAGTCATGGCTATCCCTGTTGGCTTTCATTATAACCAGGGCCTGAGCATGTGGCTAACTTTTGAAAGAAATAAGTGGTGAGCTGTGTACTATCTCAATGCAGATTACTGAATGAAAGAATGGACGAATAGCAGCTTGTGATCCAGATAAGCATGTGGTAACATATAAGTGTAAGGAACTTGGTACTAAATTAAATGCTGAGTTGGCTCCCTGAAATGTTCAGAATCTTGACTGTGGTTTACTTAAATACGTGACATGTTCAAGAATATATACCTGTCATGAAATGAAAATAAGACTGGATTTTTTTTCTTTTTTTGAAAGTATCTCACATTTGTGATTGTTGATGACACTTAAAACTATGCAAAGTGATTGTTCCTAAGTATCTGTGAGAAACACTGGCCATTTTGGTCGCTTTGGCTTGCTCGTGCACTGCAAACGCAGCCTGCTGATTCCTGTTCAGCTGCTGAATCGGTTTAACAGTGTGACAGCAGATGTGTCTGCTGGATGTGAGCTTTTAAAACTCTGCAGTAGGGGTGAGAATGTGTTCACAATCCTTTGTAGCAATTCAGACAACTAAGGTGGTTTGTTTTTTTAATTCTTTGAAGCTGAGCCCGGGACGGGGTGAGCTGGAGCCAGGTCCGCCTCGCGCACAGGTCGAACCAGAGCTTAGAACCGAAAAGGAAGATGTCTATTTACAGCTACCTTTACTTCGTGGACTTGTACAAAACAATGTTGTATTAATCACTTTTTCTAGTTCAAGGATTTCAATTCCAGGGTACAATCATTGATTTAAAAAATCTGTCCTTTCCATTCTTTTAGTACTAGTTTACAGTGACTACCATCAGCCAACTGCTGCCGCTGGGAAGGTGACTTGGAGCGTTGGCTCACCGACAGCCTTTTCCCACGTGTGACTCCTGTTAGTGTGTCTGTCGTGTCACACATTCTGTTTGCACTGTGGTGATGTGGATCTCGTGGCAGAGGTGTCTCCCTTGGGGGACACCGGGGGAGTGCGTCTCCCTTGTCCTGGCTGTTTTTACTGCTTCATGGGACTAATCTACCCTTACACCTGCTTTCATCGCCGAGATGTGAGCTGTGAATGTGTCACCTTCTGCTTGGTTCCGTCAACCATGCTGCTATTTCGAATCAAGCATGGCACAGTTTCCGAGTTTGGTTCTCGGCCGAGGCCTAGGACAGCAGTCAGGGCACTGTGCTGCTCGCAGCCCTCGGCTGCTTGCTCTTACCTGTTTATAAGCATCATAATAAAAGCTAGACTATTTCTTTGGTTGGGGGGGAAGAGACTTATTTAATGTAATTTAAAGACTTTTCCAATAGAAAATGAAATACTATTGAAAATAATATCTATTTTTTAGCTTTCAGCAATTGATGGTGCTTTGTTGTGGTGTCTGCTGGAAGTCTTACTGCCGTTGTAGGGATTTTCATTCACCTCACCGAGAAAGAACCTTGCTTGTTAGCTTTCTCTAGATCTCTATCCTAAACAATCTGTTAGTGATGATAAATTCTGTAGGAGGGTCTATTCTGAGCCGTTAACTTCCTGTAAGGGAAACATGGGTGGGTTACCAGAAATTTCCTTAATGCAGGGTGGGCTGTGGGCGGAGCGGGCTGGGGGTACTTGTCTTGAGACTCAAAAACTACGAAACACTTTTGTACAAAACTGATTTTCTAAAAAAAAAAAAATAAACACATTTTTAAACATGTTGAACTTTTCCCCCCTTATTGGGAATTCTTTAAAAATAAATGCATGCATGTTTCCCCTGAAATGGTTTATATCTTATTTCTGAATACTCAACTCTGGACAAGTAGTTAAGGCTTCATATTAAACAAGAAAACACGGTAAACATTGCTTCTTGACACATTTTATAGTGATGCAAATATGATGGTAAATGCACTACACTGAATAATACGGTCTGTAAATAAGTAGTTGGTACTTGGAGAGTTAGTTTGTACTTAGTAATACTGTTTGGTCAGTTTCTAGATGTGCACTTTCTGGAAAGATCCCGGTACCTGCAAGGGCCCCACTTGGGAAGACTCGAGTGTTCATTCTAATTAGGCTTTTATAATCTAATCTTCAATTTTTTTTTTTTAAGATTTTATTTTATTTTTATTGGAAAGGCGGATATACAGAGAGGAGAGACAGAGAGGAAGATCTTCCGTCCGATGATTCACTCCCCAAGTGAGCGCAACAGCCGATGCTATGCCATGCCAATCTGAAGCCAGGAGCCTCTTCTGGGTCTCCCACGTGGGTTCAGGGTCCCAAAGCTTTGGGCTGTCCTCCACTGCTTTCCTGGGCCTGGATGGGAGCTTTCAGGGAGCTGGATGGGAAGCAGGGCCGCTGGGATTAGAACTGGCGCCCATATGAGATCCCGGTTGTGCAAGGCGAGGACCTTAACCACTGTGCCACTGCGCCGGGCCCTAATCTTCAATTTCTTATCTAGGCAGTTATTTTCCCTAGTACTCAGTATGGGTTTTTTTTTTTTTTTTCCTATTGGAAAGTCAGATATACAGAGAGGAAGATCTTCCTCTGCTGATTTACTCCCCAGGCAAATGCAACAGCCAGAGCTAAGCCGATCTGAAGCCTGGAGCCAGGATCCTCCTCCCGTTCTCCCACAAAGGTGCAGGGTCTCCAGTCTTGGGGCTGTCCTTGACTACTTTCCCAGGCTACAAGCAGGGAGCTGGATGGGAAGCAGAGCCACCAGGACATGGGACAGAAATTGACACCCATGCAGGATTCCAACGTGTGCATGGCTAGGACTTTAGCCACTAGGCTACC